GTACATACACCACCAGATGAACACGGACCCCGACACCATCGGCGAGCTGGAGAGCTACGCTAGCAAGGTCTGACGCCGACACCACACTCGCTACATCATACCGTCATTTCAGATGTGCTTAACTGATGCTTGATTTGATGTGGCACAGCTGACGGGGTCAGAGGTCGAGGTCGATGAAAACACAGAGAACACAAATGGGGAGCAGACCAGCATACAGGTGTGTGTAGTGTGTGTGACGACACTCGTAGTGTTTCTGAAGCCCAAAGTGGGCGGAGCCGGCCGTCGCCATCTTGGCCGCGCGTCACTCCCGGATAAACGAACACATGCAGCGAGGCGGATTAGCTGAGGTGACGCTAAAGCTAGCAGACAAATGGCTAGTAGTGACATCAGCGGCGATCCACCTGTCACTCAAGTGGCCATGCCCTTAATTATGCAGAACTTTAAGGCTTAATATAATTTAAACGGATGAGTTATAAACATCCCCCCTCACAGTCGTCATGAAGGGCAACATTAGCGATATAGAGCAAAACCACTTTTAGCTCCAGACTGTAAACATGTGTTTTTCTGCTGTAAAGTTGGGCATTTTAACATGCGGGTCTATGGGACTGAGTCTCTTCTGCAGCCGGCCTCTAGTGGCCAGTGGAGGAACTGCAGGTTAAGGCAGAGAGGTGTTGATTCAGGAGAGAGAGAGAGAGGAAGCGCTTGGGTAAGATAGAGAGACAGAGACAGATTGTGATTGACAGGTGTGTTTGTCTGTAAGGCTGTCAAATAATTTGCGGTTTCTTTCTGTTAGCTTATCCAGTACAGCGCGGTGCAGCTGTGTTGCTAATTAGAAAAATGGCGGGAAAAGGCTCTTCCTGCTGACGAAACCCTGAAAATCATGCAACGACACACTTGCCACATCGGTCAGAGCTGTGTGTGTGTGAGTGTGTGTGTGTGTGTGAGTGTGTGTTACATCAGCTGAAAACACTGTGAACAGAAAGCGCTCGGATCAAGTTGGGCGTCTGGTGTTTTTGATGAACGATATGTAGATGTAGTGAGTAGAAGTGGATTATTTGCTAGTGTGTGTTCATGTAGTTCATTACGCTGTGTGTGTGAAGTGTGTTTTCTCAGGTCACTGATGCACAAACACAGTTTTACGCACTATTGTAACCTAATTTTCCTTGCATGCACATTAAGGAAATTATATTTTATTAAAGAACAATTGTTTCGAAAGTTAATGCACTTATAAAAGTGAATGTCATTTCGTGAAATTTCATGAAATTCGAATTCAGCTTTTCAGCCATTTTGACAGCCCTAATGTGTGTGTGTGTGTGTGTGTGTGTGTGTGTGTCAGCTGATGTTTGAGGGGAAGGTGTGGAGCTCCAGTAAAGCTCAGCCGGTCGGAGAGAAAAGCTTTCGCTGTGGACACACCGGCTGCGGACGCTTCTACACCACAGCACACCATCTGAAGGTACACCGCCTTCCCACAATGCACTGGGGTTGATCCGTGTAAAATAGTCCAAGTGACTACAGTGGCTAAAGAATACTAAAGAATAGCAGAGTTCACACCACAGCGATAACGATCAGTTTCGGAACAATTTTTTTTCCAGCTGTTGAACGATAAAACCGATCGTTCAAACCCTCTGAATAAACGAGGAGAAGTACCTCAGGTTTCCAGCGCTCGTGTCTTGCTAACTCTGAAGTTGCGCTGTAAAAGACTAGTGTTGTGTTTATTCCACTATAGTGAGTCCGTCAGCTAAACTCACTGCTAGATTATTAGCTCGATTACGCTAGCTTCACTCGAAGCACAGCACGCTGAGGACACCTGCTGGTTAAAGCCTGTAAGTGCAGCAGAAACATGTTCAATGATGCTGTACACACTTTGAAACCGCAGCGCTAGCTTACAATAAACAGATGTGGCGCAAATATAGTTATCGTTATAGTTCCACTTTATTTCGATAGGTATAAGTAGTTGCTCTTGGTGTGAACGGCCCTTAAAATTACACTCAAGGTGCTTTATGCAACCAGGCACAGTTCTTAAGATGTGTGTGTGTGTGTGTGTTGCAGGTGCACGAGCGCTCTCACACAGGCGATCGCCCGTACCGGTGTGAGGTGCCGTCCTGCGGGAAGGCGTTCGCCACGGGCTACGGGCTGAAGAGCCACGTGCGCACACACACCGGAGAGAAGCCCTACAAGTGCCCCGAGGACATGTGCTACAAGGCCTTCAAGACCTCGGGGGACCTGCAGAAGCACGTGCGCACACACACCGGTACGAGCCGCACACACACACCCGTACCAGCCGCACACACACACCGGTACAGCTCGGGACTTTTTAGGCACTGATTGAATTGCCATTGAGTATCAAATAATGTCTTGTTCCGGTTCCCGAGGGGTTAAACTTGTCAACCTCAGTGAGCCAATAAGCATAAAGCATGTATGATGCGCCCAAAGCAAGTGCGTGTGATTGGCTGTGGCGAGGCGTCATGGGAAAACACTAGTTTACGCTGGCGATGGCAGGATTCATATTTAAATAGATCTTTTGCGGTTTAATATTCTCACTTCGACAACATTTGATTTGAGAGAAACTATAGAGAAGGTCAACCCGTCAAAATAAAAGTTTGGTAAAGAAACTGCGATAGAAATATATTTTATAATACATATATATACTCTTGTACAATATAATAACGTAATACTATTACTACTACTAGTTTAAAAAAATAATAGAATTATTATTAAAATTCAACAATTTCTTTCGTGCAATAATTTTAACAGTAAACAGTTTGCCAAAAAATTAAAGAACAAGCTTGTTTCATTTTTATTTGAATAAAAGATAAAAGTTAATGTTTTATGCCTTCATTTGATTACCAGGAAAAATAAAATGCACGACACAGAATAATAAAAAATAAAAAACATTTCATAGGGCTCTATTTACTGTATTACAAATTAATAAATGAAGGTGTTTTTATGAATTTAATTAATTAGATATGTTTTTTGGATGAAACCATTAAAATGGAAAATAGACGGAAAGCACAGAACAAGGTAAAAATAAAATTGAATTTAAAAAATAAAACAAACATTAAGAAAGTAAATTGTTAATAAATTGCTGTTAAATTGAACAAGTTTAATGATTTCAATTAATCACACGTGCTTTTTGATTGATAAAACTTAATTTAACCATCCAGAAACCCGGAATTAACTCGCATTAAAGCGTGATGTAAGTCTGGCGGCATTAACCGTTTAGCTGTCTCGTTTCCCCTCTTCACATTAATGTTTCAGCCTCTGCTATAACATGGTCCGTTCATTAAATTGGTATCGGACAAAAACCGGTTCAGGAACGGGTGTGGGAGTCATGGTGTCGGTGTGGGAAACGCTTGCCCGACGCCCAGCCCTATTGAGTGTGTGTACATGCAGACACCGTCAGCAAGCTGTGGGCTCTTTCTCTCAGGCGAGAAGCCGTTCAAGTGTCCGTTCGAGGGCTGCGGACGCTCCTTCACCACGTCCAACATCCGCAAGGTCCACACGCGCACACACACGGGCGAGAGGCCGTACCTGTGTCCCGAGCCGTCCTGCGGGAGAGCGTTCGCCAGCGCCACCAACTACAAGAACCACATGAGGATTCACACAGGTAACACACACACACACACACTCCGCTCCAGTGTTACTGTTCTCAGACACTTTTCAATTTAGTCTTAGTCCTGTGTCAAATGTACTTTTTATCATATTTTTATATTTATAACACGATACACACTTCCTGAATACCGTCACGATTGAAACCGTGACACTGATTTCATACGACAGTTCAATAAACAAGTAGTATATTAAGTCACTTACATTTTAGACGCAAAATATCGACTGTTTTAGCAGCGAAAATAGTATCAAAAGATCAGAGCAACATTCCCGGTTTTTGATTCAGTGTTTTGAACGAATCGGTCGAGTCACAGATTCAATGACTCATTCATAAACAACTGCCTTATTCTTGAATGAATCAGCCGTGCGAACGAATCATTTGAGTCAATGACTCATTCATAAACAACTGCCTTAGTCTTGAATGAATCAGCCGTGCGAACGAATCGTTTGAGTCAATGACTCATTCATAAACAACTGCCTTATTCTTGAATGAATCAGCCGTGCGAACGAATCGTTTGAGTCAATGACTCATTCATAAACAACTGCCTTAGTCTTGAATGAATCAGCCGTGCGAACGAATCGTTTGAGTCAATGACTCATTCATAAACAACTGCCTTATTCTTGAATGAATCAGCCGTGCGAACGAATCATTTGAGTCAATGACTCATTCATAAACAACTGCCTTATTCTTGAATGAATCAGCCATGCGAACGAATCGTTTGAGTCAATGACTCATTCATAAACAACTGGCTTATTCTTGAATGAATCAGCCGTGCGAACGAATCATTTGAGTCAATGACTCATTCATAAACAACTGCCTTATTCTTGAATGAATCAGCCATGCGAACGAATCGTTTGAGTCAATGACTCATTCATAAACAACTGCCTTATTCTTGAATGAATCAGCCGTGCGAACGAATCGTTTGAGTCAATGACTCAATCATAAACAACTGCCTTAGTCTTGAATGAATCAGCCGTGCGAACGAATCGTTTGAGTCATTGACTCACTAATTATTAAGATGATCTCTTGCCGCCCCCTACTGGTGGTTTAGTTTCATGTTTACAAGTATAATCCCCCCCACATTTCTTATTTGTATTTTCAATAAATATTTAAAACAGTCTCATAACATTATTTAATGCAGTTATTGTTTTTCAGTGTAAATTAATTAATTTGATTGGTAACAGCCCTATAGTGTCTAATTCTAATTGAATTTATTGATCAAATCAAATTTGAGGATTTAAAATAAAAGATGAATCATACATTTAATAAGATTAGGGGGGGAAACGCCCTTTATGAAGGTAAAAAAATGCCCTCTGGGTAAATATCTAGGGATGCACAATATATTGGCCACGATATCAGTATCGGCCGATATATATTAATTTGACTTTTTAGCGTTATCTGCCCAAATAAAAAAACAAGTTGGCCGATAATTAATGGATTATTTAATATGAATGGAATCATTTCAAAAAAGGAAAATATAGTTAAGTGAAACATGTGCAGTGCAAGTCTGTCATATAGGCGACATAAAATTATAATGAGAATATCGTTATAATTGAGTGTTTGGAACGTGGATTTTAATGGTGAGACTTTAGTTTTTTGTAATCAGGCTCTCAAAAATTATATAAAAACTTCGATTTAGATTTATCGGCCAATATATCGATATATAGATAACCGATATATCTGCTATCGGCTTTCAAATATAAAGAATTATCGTATTGGCCAAAATCTTCATATCGGTGCACAAATATGCAGATTTAAATATGTCAAAGCTGCAATATTGCTTCAGAATAAATTTTTTTTTTACATTTTTTTTTTTTTGGACAAGCAACTTTTTTAACTCGGACGAGTGCCTGTTTAGTCAAGTTGTAGTCAATGAAAACGTAGTCACATTTTCATCATGCTGCATGATGGTTAAATTGATAATCCTGATTATTTCGCTCAAAATTAAAATCAATTATAATACATAGAAATGTATTTTTACATTTCATTAGAATTATTGCGCTTTCACCTATAAGCAGAAATCAAGAAAACGTCAACTCATACACGGTTTATTTTACCTCATGTAGCTTTCTGATTTATTATAGGCTATTTATCATATATAGGGAAAACAAGAAACTTCTCTCAAAAATTAAAACAGTGAAATTCCTGGTAATCCAATAGTTAAATCGTAAATAGTCGAGATTCATGTTTAGATTTATTACAGTTCATCACTAAGAAGCTTTGACTGCAGATTTAGTCACACAAACAGCGCAAGCAACACTTTAATTAGAGTAGAATATCTCAAATGAAGATTGCTAAACTCCAGTTTACTTGTTTGTCTGCCAGATTGCAAATACTTAGTAAAACACCGGGTTTGAAAGCGTGTTCTTTTAACAGAAAAGCTCAGATTGGGGGATTTAAATTTGTGAAATCTGGCAACCGTAAGCATGGAAGCTCGTAGCGGCTTGTTCAAAACAGCCTCGTCTTCCATGTTGTTCAACAAAACAAAGAGTGTTTTTGGTCACGTTTTTTTTTATAACTACATTTCAGTCTCGTCTTTTTTCGTCAACGTTATTTTAGTGACTCATGCAGTTATCGTTTAATGACGTTGGTGTCGCCTCGTCATCGTCTCGCCTTAATCATGGAAAAAAATGTTGTCGACGAACATTTTTCGTCATAGATTTTCGTTAACGAAATTAACACTACGTCGCTCGAGTCGTTTCAATAGGAAAGCGTGTGAATTTGCGCAATTTGGCGATTTCCCACGCAGATTTGTTCGTGTTCAAGTTAGCTGCTTGATTTGAAAGTGAGCGTACGTTCATACGTATTGACAAAAGCTAAGCAGTATTGTTATTGCGAACTAAAACTATTCAATTAAATTAATTAATAAAAATCTTTGGGTAAACAGTGAATCGATACGGTTCTTAGCTTTCTGATTTGTTTTGCAAATTCAGAACGATTCGATTTGTATTTTTAAGTGCATTCATATGATTATTTTCCAACTAACTGTTTTAACGATGTTCAGGTGAGAAGCCGTACCTGTGTACGGTTCCCGGCTGTGGGAAGAGTTTCACGGAATATTCCAGCCTTTATAAGCACCACGTGGTCCACACACACTGCAAGCCGTACACCTGCAGCCACTGCGGGAAGACCTACAGACAGACGTCGACGCTAGCCATGCACAAGCGCACCGCGCACGGAGACTTCGACACCGCCGAGGACGGTGAGAAACACTGTCTGCGTTATCTCACTTCAGATTTATGCCACACTAGAAGTTTGCTAAGAACAGTTTCGTGTGTGCAGACGCAGAGGTTTTCGAGGCGTCCGAGCAGAACGAACGCGATGGCGAGGTTACCATGGACACGGACGACATCCTCAGCTCACACCTGCAGGTCCTCGGCACGGCCGTCACCATGGTAACCCGGGACGGAACCACCATCGCCGTCCCCGCGCAACAGGGCCACACCGGGCGGCACGTCACCATGGTTACAGACGGCAAAGAGATGCAGCAGGTGGGTGTTATGGGATGGATAAGGATCCGGCATGGTTATCAGCGCTCAAGTCATTCACTCGTCTTTGTGTTCGTCCTGCAGGTTGCCATAGTAACGTCAGACGGCATCATGACCGAAGGGAACTCGTCGCCGTACCAGCAGGTGGCGCTGCTCGCAACGGAGAACGGCACGCAAATTGCAGTACAGGTCAATACGAAATAATGGATAACTACAATTTGCCTTTACCTCAAACTAAATGTACATCAGTGGTTTTGAGTATAAATACATATCTTAACTTTATTGAGGTTTGTTTAAAGTGAAATTATCTGACTGTCAACTGTATGTTACAGTTAGAAGATCAGCAGACGTTAGAGGAGGCGATCACCATGGCAACAGCAGCGATTCAGCACAACGGACTGACCTCGGATCAGTGACAGCTGAAAATCACAGACGCCTTTTTAATGTTTAGTTTGCTATTTTTACCTGCTTTGAGCCAGTAGAAGTTAAACATGATGAAAATAAAGATGTATATTTGTTAATAAATAAGCTTTATGCTGTAAGTCTTTGTGGAATGTGGTTTTTGAGCTGTTAAACCGTCGAAACGCGACGAAAACTAGTCATTAAACAATATTATTTTTATTAAAAATACATTATGTCCTTATGATAACGGAAGTACTTAGTGTTTTTGCTCTTGTATATTCGTGAACAGCTGCGCAGGATTGTATCAGCTGTCACAAAAATAATTAAGGGCATTGATTTTGTTCCTCATTTTAATTTTGGTGGTTTAATGTGAGGACCATCCCACATATGTATAGCAACATGGAGTTCAAGAGAAAACACCAACTTTAATAATCCTAGATGCATTTAATGGTAAGTTTTCCACTGAGGAAAAAGGTCGTTAAAAGACGCGCGTTTTTTCCCAATAGACCGTTTGAATGATTTTGATTTGAATTGCCCGCGTCGTTAGATCTGGATTAACGTTAATTAATCATGACTATTGTAGTTATTTAAACAAACAACAACAAAACTTACCGGAAAAATATTTAGTTACTCACCTAAATCCATATTTATTGGCAGTCAGTACTGCAATGTCACCAGCAGAGGCCAGCAGCGTCACTCTGTCCACGCGATCAGTGTGTGTGACGCGTCGCAGCTCGAACTAGAAGCACAACAATAGTTTATTCCTCGGATTATCACTGAACGGAGTGTACAGACACTTCTCAATCTGTTTACTAGCAGAACCTCGAAGAAAGAACATAAACACATATTTACATATCTAAATGAGGAGATACCATAGGTTTACAGACACAGTAGACACCACGTATTTAATGATTAAAGGATTCCAGTGTAAAACTAACCAGTTACAGTATAATTTATACACTATAGTATTTATTGATATTTTGAATTAGCGGGTTTTTATTCCATTTTAGTTATTGGGTTGTGCTTGTCACACACACACACACACACACATATATATATATGTAGATTTAATTTATTTATATTTTAGTTCAGTTTTAGTTTATTTCCATTTAGTAGTTTTAGTTCTTCAACTTAATCTTAAATTAGTCAAGGGAGCATTTCAGTTTTCATCTCATTTGTATACATTTTTTTTAATTTTTTAATTTCAGCTTTATTTCATTTAACAAAACTGTTGTTATACTTTTAGTTAACATCAGTGGTGAAAACCTTCCCAAAACACCTCCCTTCTCTTTTTAAAGTGTTTTTCCATTACATTTCCTGTCAGTATAGACCTATAGATAGACAGTGTGAATTTGTGTTGAATGTGCTGTATTTCCGTGTTTTACTGCAGTTCTCACACACACACACACACACACACACACACACACACACACACACACACACACACACACACACACACACACACACACGCGCATTCTCAGTTCTCCCTCGGCAACAGTCTCTTATTGGCTGAGCCGCTATGACGTCAGCCAATGACGAGAGGGGGGGAGAAAAAAAAGGCTTTGGGGTTTCCTCCTCAAAACTGACTGGAAACACCAGGGTGTGTGTGTGTGTGTGTGTGTGTGTGTGGTGGAGGAGGAGGAGGAGGAGAGGAAGTTAATCCGAAGACACACCCAGACTACAAACACACACCCGTTTGCTGGGGTTTTGGTGAAACGCAACACAAATAAACTCTTTAATTACTGCTAAAATCTGTTCTCTGGAATATTGTGTGTGTGTGTGTGTGTGTGAGAGAGAGAGAGAGAGAGAGAGAGAGAGAGAGAGAGAGAGAGAGAGAGAGAGAGAGAGAGAGAGAGAGAGAGAGAGAGAGAGAGAGAAAGTGTGTGTGTGTGTGTAAGAGAGAAAGAGTGTGTGTGAGAGAGAATGTGTGTGTGTGTGTGAGAGAGAGAGAGAGAGAGAGAGAGAGAGAGAGAGAGAGAGAGAGAGAGAGAGAGAGAAAGTGTGTGTGTGTGTGAGAGAGAGAGAGAAAGTGTGTGTGTGTGTGAGAGAGAAAGTGTGTGAGACAGAGAGTGAGTGAGTGTGTGTGTGTGTCTCTATGCGAGTGAGTGTGTGTGTGTGTGTGTGAGAGAGTGTGTGTGTGTGGAGCGCTAGGTAAAGTGCCTTTAAATCTGTGTGTGTAGTCATTCGGCTCTTTTAGCCCTTTTTAAGTTTGTAAAAGCAAGCGCCAGAAACAGGAAATGCTGAGAGTTCTGGGCTGATCACTTCCTGTCGCGTCCAGTGACCGAATCAATCTGGAGACTCACACTGCACACACACACATGCTGTTCTCACTCAGTGTTTCTGTCGTTTCCAGTCCAAATATCTCAAAATACTTCAATCGAGAAGCTTTTACTAGATGAGTAAAAAGGCCATAAGATATTATGTCTTGTTTTCTGGGAAAATAAATCAAAATTAAGTGAGTTTTTGCTTAAAATAAAAGTTTTTTGAATAAAAAGTTTTT